GGTTTGAAAGGCGGTAAAACGCTGGGCGGTAGGAGAGAGGAGGAGGAAAACCAGATTAAAAGTATCTGTGAAAGCTGAAGAGAACATGGCAGGGACACATTTACTGTAAAAGCATCAATTTACCGACAGACGTCTACTTTTTCTCTCAAGATAAGTAGTTTTAACCATTTAGAAAAACCCACACACACGTTATTACTTCTGAAAAGGGTGGAGAGTGGATTGCTCACAAAAAGAATAGTCACATAATCTGAGTGTCTGACCCACTGTAGCGTTATACTGCCTCTGCATATGTCATCATAACCTCAATTTAATGATAATTTTTTTATTATAATAATTTTGTATTTTCCTTCAAAATGTCATATTCAAGTGATTTTGTTTGTGTTTATTTTGTTCACTTGCAGGGCTACCATTGAATCCATTGTTGTTATGTTTGGTATTAAGCTAAGGTAAGTTTGTGTTCAACAATGTTCAACAGTTACACAGATGTTACTTAGTCAATGTCTGTAAATATGATTATGAAAATTAAAACAAATAAGAACACAGCATTTGGAGCTATATGAAGGGAGATACAGTACTACAGAAATTATTTAAAAAAATTATTACCATCATATCTACGTTGCACTACAACCGTTAGAGGCATACAAATTCATTAAAATCTTAATGTCACAAACCTTTGTTCTAATATTTGAACAAACATTACTCACAAGCCACCCTGTATTAATAAAGAGGCAAAATCCACCTCCCAAAATCTCCAATCCATCTTTAAAATGTCCTTAGTTTTTATGTAATAAAGATCTGTACCTGTATCCAATAATGTAAGGGTGGTGGGAAACCAATAGAATATAGATAAAGGGAAAAAAATGCCTTCCCTTATATATGCTGTGTACATAAAACATTTACACACTCAGATTAACTACACCTTTCTTTGGGCCTAAAGCACACATATCAAGAGGATAGACACTCGCTTCTCTTTAAGAGAGATGGTCAATTCTAAATTTCAGCTATCTGTATTGCATTCTTTTCACAGCACTCCAACAGTGCTGCAGGATTTGAAAATGAATTCATGTCCCGTTTTCTCCATACTCCCTTGAGTTCATTAGGTTTAAAAATTCAGTGAGAGTGTTTTTTTAATTCCCTGTTGTACACATGACATGCTGAAGCCCCCCTGAAGCAGAAACCAATGTTCAGCCATTGTGTTGAATGTGTTTGTGCATTACAGGAAAGAAAGTGTTCCTCACATTTCCCATCTTCTGACACCTGTGGTTGAAAGCGGAGCGCTAAGAGTGTGACGGTGCAAAGAGAAAGTGTGATCGACAGAACAATGGGAAAAAGGGTGAGTAACGAGTGTAAAACAAACGTGAGGGAGACAGAAGAGGTGGGCGGGAGTGATGAGGACAATTATGAAGACGCAGGAAAGGAATAATAATCAATTTTAGTGAACAAAATCGAGCACAAACATAAAAGTAGAGGAGAAAAGTGCCTAAAGGAATGAAATCTGTCACATTTTGTTAATAAATAAATGTTTAATTTAGAACTACTGTACACAATATCATCTGACATGTCAAAATGCATTTAGACGAAACAAAATCAGTGTGCGGTTTTGTAAACTAAGGACGAGGTTAGATAAAACGCACAATATAAAAGGCAGACAAAAGAAAAAGGCAAATGACCTGGATACACATTTACATTACATGTACAATATGACTTACATAATGACATTTGTGGATCCACATCGTTTTTGAGAGAGGTTAAAACAACAACAACAAAAGACATCCCAGGCATGGCACTATGTTTTAACAGAATTAATAAAAAAACATCCGAGGTGGAATTTAAAGCATTATAATATGAAGGGATGGATCCAGCATTAAAAAATCATAATACTGATAGTCAAAACAATTCAAATTATTTTGACATGTTCAAAATATACATATAATTGAATATAATTAAAAAAAGAATTGTAGCTAAAATGTAAATAAAGGAAAATGACACACAGAACAAAAAGAAAGCACCATATATTGTAGGCAGCTTGTTGAGGCACATAATGTTTGAAGCTATTAAAACACATTACTTAGATTGCAAATAAAAATAAACCTGCATGGTTTAGTACTTGTACATGACACCTATGCTGTACATGCGCCATTGTCTTCACTATGGACAGTCTACTCCCTGCAGAAACAACCAAAGAAGTGCGAGAAAACATCTCTTTCGCCTTCTTTACAAACTTACCGTCGTGTCAAAATGTTACTACGCGCTCTGATTGGACTTGATGATCTGCATATTGTCCGTGTCTCACATGTATCTGTTCTTGACGTACTCCCTGTACATCATCATGTCCCCTCTGCACAGCAACCTAACCTGGCCCTCCCCCGTCATCACATGAATCTCAAACTCATCACGGCTGTCCCTGACCACCTGGGGGGGGGACACGCTGTAGATGCTGTCCTCCGGAAAGCAGGACACCGGCTCTCTGAGAGACAGGGACAGGGGAGAAGAAAAAAATATAATGGATTTAGTGAATAACTCAATTTGGACAATTCAAGTGGTGGTGGAGCACGAAGCCATGGTAACCTACAGTTGTTGCTGGTCAAAAAGAGTACCAAGGACTGGAAAAATGTTTTAATCTAACAACATCTTGGGTAAATCAGCTGGAGAGAGTGAGTCAATGGCTGCTTTTGCAGGAGAATAACTCATATTTCTTGCAGGAACTAGAAAGCATGTCTCATCCTCTGGAGGGTGGATTATTAGCTGGTCAAGTTATCCACTCAGTGCAGCAGCTGCTGCTCAGACACACCGCTGCATTTCAAATGAAGCCCCCTCATTATGGGCTGTAATAAATCCACAACACAAGCTCTGGTAAATCAAAGAGGCCTTGACATAAATTATTAACACATTAAGTATCATTATTGAGTCCTCGATTGATTTTTAAAGGAGTAATTCACCCCTGCAAAGGATCATTTATACATAATTTAGTAAATGATGTATAAATGTAAATGACATTTACTCATCTCTTGAAGAAAATGCTTGAATCCACGGTCATGAGAGAAAAATAAAAGGAGTTCCGATAAATTGACATAAATGGAGGGCAGTCTAAACATCCATCAACAAACTCTCGTACAACTCTTACATGGGGCTGACTAGATGATATACAAATGGTCATTTCGTTAAGTATTCCTTTAATGTTTATTAAAGCTCTAACAAGGTCAGAAAGGCTGGTTAGGGTGTTGGCTACATATAAATGATGAATATGTTTATCTTTTGAATTAAATTAGGTAACATAAGTCTAATTTGGTAACATACGTAAGTCTAATAATGATTACAGGTTTCGTAAAATATTTGATAGCACTTGTATCACACGTGAAAACACTATATTAGTCAGGTCACGGCTGTCCATTCATCTGGAACTGTGATTTATAAGCTGATTATAATTTGAAGCGGAAACAAATTAGCACAGCTCACTGAGGCTCTCAACAGGAATCTGTATTCCTAACGCTTCCGCTTTATCTCCAGCTTTGCCTATCTGTCCTCAATAGAGGAACCACACAGAGGGAAGTGTCGGACCAGAGGGCTCCAAAAGGTGAAAAAAAGGGAATAGGGTGTCATAACAGTTTTAGAATAGCACTGTTGCACAACAGAAGAAACACCTGGCTCGTGGACCCAGTGGGCCTGACACGAGAATCAGAGAAACGGACCAATGAACGGCCAGAGAGATGAAAGGTAAACATATAGGCGGACCAGGAGGGATGTAAAAGGATGAAGAGACGTTAGGAGTCCCTGCTGACCGAGGTAACTGGTGAACACTACTCTCAGTCTGCCTCCTGTGTGACATGCATACAAAACTAATTATCCTGTAAATGGCATTTCCTTTGCGAAAACATATTATGTAAAGAAAATGAAAGGCATGTGTTTAATGAAAGGCGTGATAGAAAAACAAAGCCGAACACACTTTTAAAGTCACTTGACCTCCTGTGAACTCCTGGACAGTTTTGACCAAGTGTTCTCCGCCCAGTTCGTGTACATTTCACATGACCTTCAACATTTCTTCTTTTGAACAGTGATCATTTGCTCTAACTGGCTTTTTAGACATAGTTGTCCTCTTCAAGAAATCTTCTCTTCACCTCTAAACACTGTCTCTAACTGTGCATTCACGTAGCAAAGTGCAGCACAACATGAAGGAACCACAGGTATATCATTGTCTTCTCTCCACACCATTTTTAAACTCTGTACAGGTAACATTTCAACCATTTCTGTTTCATGTTCCATCAGCACATCTTGCCCTCTGGATGTATTCTTTCGAACCAAACAATTAAACCACCTCCTTCTGAATCTTCCCGTGAAAGCCAGTGATTGAAATACATACTAAGTCTATATATTCTGAAGAGCCATTTTGCCATTTGAATGCTTTCTGGGATGTTAGTGAGAGTGGGAGCTGGAAAGAAAGAAAGCAAGACAAAGAGGGAAGTGACTAATGCATCTGTGTGGCTGCACATCGCCATGGCACGTGTGGTTGGGCTGTGCAACCGGTGGAGGAAATAATGCTTGCTGTGACACGGCTGCAGCATGGATGCAGAGATGGAGATAAAAAAGTGCACGACTAGACGGCTCCTCGGAGATCACTCGGTGCATCAATTGTGTTTAACTGCTGTAAGGCTGATGGGACATCCTGGGAACTCTCTGTCAGTGCCTCATTCAACATGTTGAATTTGGATCTCTGCTGCTTGACATCCTGCTTGAAGAACCATTTTTTGTATACGTTTAATACATTATTTATAATTTCTTGATTGTAATGTGTTTGTTTGTCTTTTCTGTACACACATCTATTGCCCTGTACATCGAAGGAGAAGGATCCCTCCTCTGTTGCTCCTCCTGAGCTTTTCTTACCTATTCAAATGTTTCTCCTCATCAATCAATCAATTAATGCAGGGTATATGCAGGAATCCTGAAGTCACATTTAAGACCTTAGGCGCGTTCACACCGCAGTACTTTTCCCACTTTAGTTCTGATATAGTTCCGAAATGTCGCGTTCACAACAAAAAGAGCCGGAACTAAAATGAGTTCATGAGAACCTTTTTTGCCCCTTTTTCACGTCCCTGCTAGAGACAGGACTTCTGTGGGAGAAAAGGTTCGTGGTCGATTGGCTGGGCGGAATGCAAACCCGCCCGGTCAACTCCCAAACTTTGTGGAAGCGGCAATTTTTATTTCCTTGCATTAGCCATTAGTTAGCTTAGCATTAGACAGCCGCGCGAACGCAGAGAGAACTAACTTATGGCAACACCAAAATAAAAGCCATGGAGCGGGGAAGATGAGGATGGTGTCGGCGTTCTGGCGTTTACTCTGAGTCCCGGCCGCTTCTACTGAAGGCAATCCCAACACTCCGGGGACCTACTCCGGCCAGGGATTTCGGGCGGCGTATAACGCCGTGAAGTTGTTTGCGGGCCTGCCGGCAACCCCAAAGCAGAAAGAAAGACAGAAGTGACGTCAGCGGCTTCATTTGCCTAATCCTCCCTCAGGGTACTTTTCCGGTGTAACGCCTATCTGTACTTAGTTCATGGAACTAAAGAGTTCATGAACTATAGTTCTGAATGAACCTTTGTCGGAAAGTCTCGCGGTGTGAAAGCGCCTCTTGTTTAAGCGCCTTTCCATACATTTAAGACCTCATCGCCACTTCTTCTAACCTTACATTGGCGACACCCTCACCTCACATTGCTAGTTACGTATTTGCTTTTCCTGCCTCGGGCTTATTTCCAACCATTTGGACGCAGACTGCATTCCCCACGATGTTGTTTACCAACCGGTGTAAACGGAGCTGTCGCAGCGCTATCAAGCACGTTAGAGCGTGCAAGTCTGTTCAGATGACGTCAATCCAACGGGATGCATAATAAAACTCCACAGAATCCTCACACCTACCAATGATTACATTCCAGCAGACTTTAGACCCAGTCTTTGGACTTACTTATACTTATCATATGGAGGCGGTTAACAGGAGGCTAACAAAATGTTAGACTTGGAAATGCGTTTACTACGTTTTTAATAGCCTTTATTTCGCAACTTATTTATTCAACTGTTATACTTTTAAGACCCGTGGTGCACCCTGTAGATGGTTGTTTTTATATGCCCAACATCAACTTGTACAATTTGTCTCAGGCGACGTTACAGTTTGTACAGATCGATGATACGCACTCTGTCCTTGGACCCTCACATCGGACAAGACAAAGCTCAAGGAAACCCCCCGTAATGGGGAAAATGGAAAGAAACCTCGATGAGAGAACAGGAGAGGGACCCTCTCCCAGGAGGACACACGTGCAATAGATGCTGTGTACAATGAAAAGATATCACATGCACACCACAAGTAGTCCAAATGGTTGAAAATGCTCCTCCTTAGCAAAGTGAGAAGACCAGGAGGGCTGTCTTTTGCTGTCTGATGTGAAGCCCTTTGTGGATTTGTGCTATGGGGCCTATAGTACATACTTGCCGTTGTAGAATGTTTGCGTGATATTTGACAAGAGTTGGATAACAAAATCGACATAATGCAACATAAGGCTTGCATCCACGGTGGTGAGATAAAGACTGGATTGGTGTGTTCGGTTCATTTGCACGTGTTTTACCACACGTGATGATGTTTGCTTGGTTTATGTGTTCTGTTCTCTTCCACCGCTGTGCTGGCTCCGCCAGATGTGCAAACCTGCGGAAGAGAAAGAGCAAAAATGAAAGGCAATATTACTGCACAAAGAGTTTATTCACAACGATCACGGGGTGGGGTCATGTTCCGCATATGCGTTATCAAAAGCCATAACAAAATGTAATGGAACGGTTACTTCATCCGAGATGACCCTTTATTTAGGTTTATATTCAATTTTTCAATAAAAATACTCAAGACAATGTATTTGTCAAGTTCTTGGAGTCATTAATCTTATTTCCCGCAGGTTCTTTCCCTCGGCGCAAACACGACATAAATGCAGACAGGTGTGAGAATTCCCCTCTGCTTTTGCTTTATAATTTTTTTTTTTATGCGCTGTTAGCGGCTTTCGCGCTTAACATCCTTGGAGCCATTCCAACTGCGTGCCTCAATAATTAAATGTGTTGTCTTCTCTATGTGGGAGGAACACATGAACATATTCTCCATGGGAAATTTGATTTTGTTATTTTGGTAATGTCCCTGTTCAATGCACGCTCCCAATTGTGGCCCTGATCATTTAAAGACGTTAGTTAACCTTTTTATGGGAATGTTAGTTGTATTCTTTTGTTTGCCTGTCCTGTCTGATACTTTTCCTATCTGATCTCTCATCTCTACACTGCCGGATCTTTCTCTCACTGAACCTTCTGGTCCTTTGGACATAATGCTTAGAGAGCGAGGACACTTTATGCAAAAGCATTGGAGTTGCTCCATGTCTCGTGTTTATCGATTGACCGGTTTCGTTTCAAAAGTGCATTCCACTCTCTATTTTGCATGAAAACCCTATGTGTGGTGGTCTGGCTAACCCCCCCAAAGAGTCTAGCAAGTCCAAGGGGTGTATATTAAAGTTAAAAAGTACCGAAAAAAATTATTTCCAGATACCAACCAGAAAGGAAAATTCCAAGTTTTAAGGATTCAAAACCAAAACACCATTTTTTGCTTTCGTTTTGTATTGCAAACAAGAGATGTTAGAATATAAATGATGTTTGCCCATGCTTATTAATTCATTTATAATATGTCGCATGTATTGTTGAAACATGCATGGCACAATTCCATCTTGCTTGATATTGCTTCCAATAACAGGGGTCATACAGCGAGTACCAAAATATTCCCTGGGTCGACAATTATCGGTTCAGCTTGTGTGAGCTATTTCAGCACCTCAAATGGCTCACACTGTGACAGATGAGGTTTGGCTTGCACAGACAGAGTGAGGTTGTGTTCATGTTCGAGCCTGCCGACGGCAGTTTCACTGGTGGTCACCAGCTCAATCCATCACAAGGTGGGACCAAAACAGGGGGAGATACATTAATGCGTCAGAGGACAGGGGGAAAAAAGGAACCCAAGGTGAAGGAAGGAAGAGGCGGACAGAGCGAAATCGTCAGAGAGAGGAGCAAACAGCAGGTCAGAGTAGACGTCCGCATCACCTTGAGGGCTGCTGATAGCTGACAGCCTCCTCCCCCCCTCTGAGTTAAAGGCAACGTTGCAGACACAGAGGAGCACTTGCCTCAGGAGTATGCTTTAGCAATGGTGTCAAAATATGCTCACACTGAGCGCTGAAGCCAAACAACACCAGTGAACGACGGCGTGGAGCACTTAAGTATGGAACACGATAAACTTCAATGTTTAAATGGTGCCTCTCTGTGTCATCAACACTGACCTTATTTCTATGTCAGGCTGTCTCAGCAAGAAATTGGAAGTATGTGATAAGTCTTTTTTGTTGTATGCAATGAAAAAACAAAATGTGACGCATCTCTGGATTCGATTACAACACTAATATTGCAAGCCTTTATTATTTTATATTGCTGATTATGGCTACGGCTAAGCAAACCTCAATGGTCCTATCTTATTGTAAATCATGAAAGTATTGACTGAGTGGGTGTTACGAATCATTGAAATCTTCTAATTACTCGAACAACTGCAAGGTTCACATGAGCGTTGAAAAACACTCAGCCTTGGTTCAGTAAATACTCACAAGTATGGGGTGACTGCTGATCTGACTGCTTGTCCAGAGGACCGTCTTTGACACCCTCCATCGGGGTAGGCTAAGACACAGAGAGAATTCTTCAACGGCAAGCTGTCCAGAGTGCAGTTTCAAAGCACATCCAGCAAGGTCTGTGGCAGGGGGAATGGGCAGGAACGCTGCAACAACCAAAGCGAGATGACCGCCAGCTCATTACAGCATTGTGAAGAAGAGTCCTCCAGGATTTGGGGGCTTCAAGACGAGGGCTGATAGCTGGAGTCCAGGTACTCAAAGTCACTGCGTTCACAGAAGTGTCCGGGAATGGGCTACAATAGCCGTCTTCCATGGGGTCAAAGCCACTCTAATCAAGACAACCGGAAGAGGCAGTCTGCTTGGGGCTAAAAAAGAAAAGAGCACTGGACAGTTTCACAGTGGTCCAATAGTTCCTCTTTTCGACGAAAGCAAGTTTTGTTTTCATTTGGAAGTTTTGAAGGCCGCCCAGCAGAGTCTGAGAAAAGGCTGGGAGGCAGCAAAATCCAGTGCTTGAACAAAGCCAGTGTGACGTTCCCACCAGTCAGCGAATGCGTTTGGGCGGCTATGTCGAGCTGGCTGGTTTGGTCCACTGTTTTCATCAGAAGCCAGGTAAAAGCAGCTGCATGTAGCCATGAGACTTTTAGGCACTATCATGCTTCCGTCTGCTGATAAAGCGCTCTAATGGAGATGAGGAATTCATTTTTCCAGCATGATTTGGCTTACTGCCCAGCGAGTGCCCAAAACCACGCGGGGTAAGCTGGTTGTATGCTGACCATGGGCATTTACTGTCCGTCGATTGGCCTGCAAATTCCCGCTGACCTGAACGCCCATAGAATATGTTTGGGGGGTGATTGGTGAAGAAGAAGCTGAAGTGACACCAGAGCCACAGATGCTAGAGAGCTAAGCCGGCTATTTGTGAAGCATCCTGGCATTCCCATAACATCCACCCCGTCGCGAATGCCGACAGGCTGATGTGCCTCCATGTCCACGTCGCGCTTGATGCAGTAAATGCCGGGTGCAAAAGGATTCGCGCAACCAGTCTGAGTGGCATTAGATGGGACGTTTTCAAAGTTTTGATTGGTTTTGTGTGCTACATCTTTTTTTACTTGGTCTGGGGAACTTATTTCTTTAGTTTTTTGAGATAGATTTGGTTTCTTAAGCTGGGGTATGCCATATCGGGCAATATTAGGGAGATAAAAGGTGCAATCATTTCGGTTGATTTGAGATGAATGGAGATGTATGACCATTTTTGTTTTTTAATTTGCGTATTACAGCAGATAAAGAAGGCTTTACTGGACGAATATTTAATTGTCTGAGACGAGTCCGTTTGTAGAAGGGCAGATACATCTGAGCGTGTAGGTTGAGTTGGTGTCTCTAGCGATTCATCATGCCATCACAAGGTCGCAAACTCTTATACTTGGTATTTCAATGGGGGTGATTTAGCATGTTCATAGCTTAAGATAGATGGTGTGGGACACTATTTCTGTTCTAGGGAATCTGGGCAACTTGTTTAAAGTTGCGTAACACTGAATTGGTCGAATAATAAGTAATAATGGTTGGTTGACCGGTGAGACTATGATTATCATTTGAAGTGAAGAACCCAAGCGTTTAGAAATGTGCCATTGTTTTGAATATTGTGAAAAAAAACCACGTAATGGCTAAGGTGGGATTTGCCATGTTATATAGACTTTGTCAACATGGACTGTAAAGGTGGTGTAGGGGTTGGAGAGCTTACACTAGACACTGTGGTTATAGGTGGAGAAGTGCCGGGTGCGGTGTCGGTGGAGATCAGTTCCGTTTCGTAAAGTGAGCAGGTCTGTTTTCAGCGGAGATCCGCAGGAGCGAGATGTTGGGAGTGTCATATTGCTCCTTTAGGGCTGACTGCTGCAGTCGATCTCTCTGTAAAGGGATGGAGAGAGGTAGGGTGATAACGCTATTGTGCATGTGACTAAAGGCACAAACAGAATGGGATGTTATGATGAATATCCAAAGCACTCATTCAGCGGGAGAAGCTGGGTCTTGCTGAGCTCGGCAAATCAAATTGAGCGGCACTCAACAGTCGCACGAGGACTAGTGGGTAATGCAGTTCAGCCGCTTCTCTACAACTTTCCTCTACTTTTAGATATGAGTAACGGGGTGTTGTCTATTAGAGGTCATCTAATAGCCGCTGGTTCCACACCGTTGGAGTACTTTGCCATTTAGTGCTCTGGAGGTCGTTTGTAGTGTAGTTCCGAAGGCGCGGCGCGGCACGAGAGCCGGGAAGACGGTAAGAGGTGAGAGGGAAGCTTGCAGCCCCCTTTTCCGGGGGACTCTGCAGTGCGGTCTCGTGGAGAAAGAGCGTGATATTATCGGTTGGTCGGTGTGGTTGGAGAGCAGGCGGGCCCGGGTAAAACGAGAAATAGAAGTGGTGAAGCACCGTTATTTTTATTTCCTCGCGTATTTAGTCATTATTGAGCATGTTAGCATTAGTCCCAGCGCAGCAAAACGGCAGTTGTGTGAGAGCGGTACTTGGTTATGGCGATACCATCAAAATTAAGATACGATGTGGTTAGCTTGTGGGCGGTGAGATGTAGGATTTTGTGGTTTCAGTTGGTGTCTGGCGTTTTCTGGCGATTACCGGAAAGGCTTCAGTGGAGCTGCTGGGTTTTATGTGTCTCAGCAGCTCTGAAGCCATGTCGCCACTCCGGGATTCCTTGCAGGGGATTTGGGCTGCCTTATTCAGTAGTTTCGTGTGAACGTGTCTGGGTGGTTCCTGCTCGTCCAGAGTTAATACCCTAAGCGAATGCAGAAGAAGATGACGTCAGCGGGCTTCCTTTGTGGTAATCAGCCCCCAGGACTTATCCGGGGATGCTTTACACTGCGTTATTATTATATTGTGACGCTGATCTGTTGACTTTGTTTCTCGGAACTATGGATTTCTGAATGAACTAATGTCTCTGGGATGAAACCGGAAGTTACTGCGTGTGAAAGCGCGCTTATGAATGCCCTCTGATTGTTGTGTCGATGAGGTGGCTTCGTTGTTCGTGTACATGTTGGCGTCTCCTGGGGCGTCTTCTGTTACGTTCATATGTAATATCATGATTACTGAACAGGGTGAGTCAGTATTTAGAATAAGGTCAGAGCGGTTCAAGCTGAGGCTTTTATATGCAAGAGTAACTGTTTTGATCAGAATTTGCGCTCATTACCACGTTTCGAAATAAAAAAAAAGACATACATTTATTTAAAACGGTTGGGCGGAGGAGGGCAGGTAGGCTTATGCTTTCTGTTAGGAATTGTACAATTATTTGGCACAATGTGTTAATATCTTAGTTCTTAATAGAGGTCCCCATTAACCATTCCAGATCGTCTATGTGGACTGGTCAGTTTCCCGACAGGCGGATAAGAGCTTTATGGTTACTACACGTTCTGACTTTGAAACAGAGCGCGGGTGATTCATGGGGGCGGGCTAGGCGAGAAATTGGGGTTATTATATCTGGTATTTGTATTCGTTACTTATGGGTTCTTTCAGAATGTGGTATGCGGATACCTTCCTATTGGGGTTCGTTGGTGTTGTAGTACTGCGGGGTATCGTGGCGGTTATTGTATTGTTTATGGAATAAAAAAGGTACTGGCATGTTAGTTATTGGGCATTTTAAACAATTTTCTTGTTCTTAGTGATAGTAGATGGATACTACTTAGTTCAAAGGTTGGTGATGTTACAGTGAGGTCTGGGATCTATTTATAAATGGAAAAATAAACGTTGTTGTGCTTCTTCTTTTCTCGGTTTCCCCTTTCTTTCTGACGGAGGCGCCGTCTCCGTCTCGTGCCTGCTCTCGCGTTGAACTGGTAGATATGTTGAGTTCCCGTAAGGAGAGTAACATA